GCAAAATCATTTATAACTTCGTCAAAGTTATATTTGTTCTATTGACAAAATGCCCAACTCATTCAATCTTATGAGCCTATGGTAGACTTCAAGTAATTTTTCATTAATTTCAGCTTTGAGAAGCTGCGCTCACATGAAACAACCTGCAACACTGACAGCTATGGTTAAAAAGATTCGAAGCATAATTACGATATTAGGTATGCAAATACCATCGTTGCATTGCTAAATGAATTCTAAAAGCTCGAGCGGCACTTTTCTCATGTAGGTACATTTAAATTCTAGTTGGTTTGGTAATCACTTTATTTTCATTTGTATCCTGTTTAGATTTTTTGACGAATTTTTATTGCTATCCATCGCTAATAAATTCTATGTCGGTTTAATTGCAAGTGTTCTGGCGATTAACTGCATGTTGTGTATTCTCGAATTAGTTTTGGATCGAGTCAAACTCTTTCTCATTTTGGTGAATTACGACTTTTTTATTCGTTTTATGAAGTTTGAACCAATTTCACTAATTCTAAACCGTTGCCGTACTACGTTTCCTAAATAACCTTCTTATTAATGGGAAGGTGTAATCCACGTTTAATTATCCTTGGTTCCTATCCATTGCACTTAGATCTGTTCGACATGTACAGGTTTGAGATAAGAGGATCACGTCAATATCTCTCTTATTTGTCGAAATTCGAAAAAATGGTCAAATAAAATTTTGTATGTAACATTCCCAGTGCCGTTTTTAAGTTTTTCGGGGCCCTGGGCCATTCGTTCGTGGAGGCCTCCCTTACCCTCAATAAAAATATTTTTAAACAACAACAGATATTTTACAGATTTATTTATTTTACAAGTTATGCAGGTTAGACAGGTTTTTTTTGGACCTTTAGTTTAGTAACGCAAAGTTTTCGATGACATTGTTAAAATCAATTTGTTGGAGAATATCATTTTCAATACTCATCAGGGATAAATGTCATCTGACTCATGCTGTTCCTCTGTTGATTTTTTAATTAGCTTGAGCTTTGAAAATTATCGTTCGCCACTGGCATTGGTAATCATCATGGACAAGAAAATCTTGAACGCGATCTCTATTAGGAAACGTCTCATCAAGATTGTTGTTTTTCAATAGTTTGTACATATCGTAGATAGGTATGTGATCACCAACCATTTTTTCCTGCACCAGATAATGCTTAAAATGCTCACATTCCACTATCAGTTCTGTTTCGTTGACATCATTTGCATAAAATTCAGTCACTAACTGATGGGGTTAAACGTAATATCGGTTAATTGTTATAGAATTTCGGTGAGTTTCTACTGTATATCCGAAATCATTATATTCTGCAATTTGCAAAGATAATCATAAATCCTCCTGGTAATTACGTGCACATGGCACAATGTTTGCATTTTGTGACGAAAATGACCGGACTTTTATTTTATTGAACTGTAAAGTCAATGTCTTACCCATGGGCAAAACCTCAGTGTAATACCCACTTTAGGCTTTTTATCACTTATTAGGACTTTTTAACTTTCTAAATGGTAACCTTATACAGGGTGGTGACTTGCGTAACGCATCATAGGGATTTCAATGTAAAATTCAAAACATGCGATTATTGGTACCCAAATTATTTTAGAGCAAAAATGTATTAAAGTTTTTTGTACACAAAATTTTTTACGTTGTCTTTGTTTTCAATTTTTTACATATAAAGAAGGAAAATTGGAAAAATAAAACCCGCATCTTTTTCAAGAATCTGTGATGCCATGGAATTTTCTAAAACAAAAAGATATCCAATTATCAATTAGCAGCAGCTCGAAATGGATTTTATGATCGACTGTCTTGCAGTTAATGGTGAGTTATTCGAACATTTATTGTAAATTGTTATATTAGGAAACCGTTTTTAGTAATTTGGTCTTTCTTTATGTTGAATTCGCTGTTCTAAATATAATACTTTTTGATAGAATTCGATTTGTTTTATGCAGACATTCCATGGCATGACAGATATTGGCGTAGTTTTTGTATTATAAAATTCCATGGCATCACAGATTATTGAAAAAGATGGGGGTTTTACATTTCCAATTTTCCGTCTTTATTATGCAAAAAATGGAAAACTAATACGGTTGATTGACGTAAAAAATTTTTTTCTAAAAAAACCTTAATACATTTTTGCTCTAAAATAATGTGGGGAGCCAATAATCGCATGTTATGAATTTTACATTGAAATCCGTATTATGCGCTACGCAAGTTACCACCCTGTATACACGATCCGCAGGATTTTAGAATTTCCGGTATCCCTTACTCTATGCATTAATTTTGTTTAAATCTGCATTTACTTTAAGGCGGCAGATTTTGCACTAAAATTTTTTCATTCACACAAACTTTTGGGGGCCCCTCAGGACTTCGGGGCCCTGGGCCCGGGCCCAGGTGGCCCATGCCTAAAAACGGCACTGGGTATACCGATAATTAATACCTACCATACAATGGAGAAAATTACCCCCTGCATCTGGCCTATTTTAAAAATCGTTTACGTAAACCTACGAGTTATATTTACCCCAGGCGCGTACCTAAAAACCTTATTTTTATCTTTTTTTTAATTGAAAAAATAAGTGAGACTTTCACAGATTTCACATATCTCAGTTAAACATCTTGAGGTTTGTGAAAGTGACCTTCTTACCTCACCTTTTCTGGCACCTAAAGATGGATCGATTCAAAAGCGAAAATGCAATCTCAAAATCTGTAACGACGACCTTTAAAACGATATTTATAAATCCCAAGCGCGACCAGGGCAAGCTTTTAAAACACTGCACGAAAGGAATCGTAAACCGTTATACAACAACCTAAATCTCATCTGTCTTGTAACAACGGAATACCTTGAGAAACAAAGAGAAGGTGAAGGAAATGGCCTTTTGGTGGTGATTCAAATAGTCCACAGGTGGTGAGACATCGAGTGTGAATCATCCGAAATGCAACTACCTCCATGAATGGCTATTAAACAATGTCCGGACGGGAAGCGGATTACAAAAAAATTGTGCAACATTCACGCAACGCCAAGAAGCTGATTTTAATTCGACCAAATGATCTCGGAGAAAGTAGTCATTAGTGGGTGTAAGCGAAACTGGCATAAGCACTTTCACTTTCTTCACCCAATTATCGTGCGCCTCTCTCATTTGCCGGGAAAAACCTTGAACTTAACTTTGATTTGTACGCCAAAACGTTTTTGTTTTTATTTACGACAGTTTGGCACTCGCCGCTCGTGACATAACGATTTCATTTTTCGAAGCTAAATTTGATTATAACGTAAATGATAAAAATAATGCAAATGGGCTCCTTCTTATGTTTAATGTGCCGTAAAATTGCAGGCCATAATTATATTTCTAAAGGTCATTGCGTACATTAAAATACTACTACTATATCACCTAACAATAAATACTTATTAGTTATAAGACTGTTCATTAAAACTTCTGTAAATAGATTGTATTATAAATTCAAAAATGTCGCCAAGTACGATTGCATCATAGATATATAAATACATAGATACAGCCATACCCCAACATAGTTCAAAAGGACGTACCATCTATTACCATCACTTTCGGCACATTAATTACATATAGCGCTATCCTTTATAGAGGTACCCTGAGCATGGAAGACAAGATTCGCATTATTTATTATAACTGTCAATCAAATTGTTAGCACAAATCACACAGAAAATTATCAGATTTGAAACTTTACAACATAAATAAACCGCCTTTTTATTTATTTAAATCGCATAGCAGCAAAGAAATGTTACATTTAAAATGGAAGATGTTACTTATAAAGCTGGCAAATGAAGAATTTGAAAAAATTACAGCTGACAACTGGAAGAAAGTGTGTGAACATGTGGAAAGTGATTAATTTAAAAGAGAAGTTATATTTGGTTGATGTTGCTGAACTTTATAATACCTAAGTGTTAATAATGACAGTGATGATTCAAATTTGTCAATTTCATCTGACGATGATTCGGATTGTGAGCTTTTACAAACGTAATGAATGTTCACTAAATGAGTATTATCACCAATTGGATATCATTGTTAAGGTGTTGTATTTATTTTAAATAAATGTACACGTGTAGCTTACTTACTACAATTAGCACTATAATTTCAAAAAGAAACCCCACCGAATGGACATATGCCGAAAGGTAGGCAAGACGCGTAGCGACCAAAATTTGATATTGCACGCACACACAGTCTAAAAACTCGTTTTCCTAAGAATATTGGACGGATCCTTCTTTGTGATCATGATACAAACGCACTGCATCAACATCATATAGGCCAAAATAATAATTGGAAACGAATTCACTTCCTGTCGCAACAATTTCCTTTACCATTACGCCTAAAACCATGCAATTAAAATTAAAATGTTGAACATAAACTTTACTTACTTACGGTTTTTTTGATATTCTGCAAGCCAGCAATAAATTCAATGCAGCACATCATGCCAAACAGGGTAAACATTATCCCAAATTTGAATGGCGTAGTTCGATGTAATAAAACTATTTCAGGAATAACAATTATGGACGCGTCTATCATTATGGCAAGCACTAATGTTATTCGTATTCAATTGATAACGCAATAATTACATAATATTTAGTGAAAAAACCGCCCATCATGTTTAGGGCGAATATTTTTAGTTAGATTGGATTTCGCGCTATCGTGAAATGTGTCAACTGTCACATGACTTATGGGACGCGCTAAGTTTGTTTTAAGCGTCCGATTCGCGTACGACATAGTGGTTAATGCAATAAAAAGAGATAGAACATGTTTCATCTTGGTTAGAAAGTAATGGAGAGATGTACAAATTTCTTTGATATGTTTTTTAAAAACCGAGGTACGTTTGTTAAGGATGGCTGTATCTAGGTATTTATATATCTATGGATTGCATAGGCAACTGGCGCCATCCATACGGCACAATAAATTACTGCAACCTTACGAATTGTCGTCGAGAATACGTTAAGATATGCAACCAGTAATACACCTGTATTATTATTTATAGTAGTGTATGATTAACCTTTCAATCAACAATCCATGCTGCGCCGCTCATATGTAAATCACTACATTGGCACAGATTACCTAGTGTAGGGTAATCATTTGCCGCAACCTGGTATGTATGCACCACTACTAGTTTCTTTCAAATATGTACATATTTACAGGGTAAATAAATGTTGAATTACAAATTCACATTTTGTTCCTGTGCCTTTTACACTAAAAGAGAATAAGAAGCTTGTACGGTCCTATTCCCGTAAGGGGACTAAACACAAAAATGGTGTTTGGGTGTATTGTACTCGATACGTTTGTATATTTTCGAGAAGCAGTGGTTTCAAATTTTAAATTTTTTAAAATAAACAAATGAAAATTCTAGTTGAGGGGGGTTTTGGGACATGAATAAATCTCTAGAATCAATGTTTGAAACGACACTTAAACAAAGCAGAGTAACAATCTGTCTCTTTTGCATGGCAATAGCCAGATACAATACTCCCTGAAGAAAGACTCATGGAACACTGTCATATCCTGACGCTAGTAATGAGGATTGTGCGTGCACAGGCATAATAGCTTGAATCCCTGTAACCTCGCCTGTAACATTTATAACTACAAATCAATTTTTAAAAAGTAATGTAAGTAATTCTTACCTCCACATATTGAATTAGTTGAGTACTGTATTGTATTGTAGTCATGTAGTATGTACACTGTTTCAAAGACTGCAAAAGGTGAAGAAAATTGATATTTCTTACAGATGGGAAGTAGCCTGTAGGAGTGATATTCAGGTGAAGTTCGAACACTTATGACCATAATGGATTTCTAGGTAAAACTTTTTCAATTTGTGTATGAATGCGACAGTTGCCAAGCAGAGCTTCAAGTAAGCTTAAGCAGACTTTGACATGTTGATTTCAAAGAATTAAATCATCCGAGTACCGACATTTAGTTCATTAACGGAAACCTTCACCACACAAATCCTATGTTAAAATCTTACCCTAGGTCACTACTTCTTGATAACAGTTGAACTTTCCAAGCACAAATGCGAGCAGGCACTTACAATTCAAATTTAAAGTCTCCTAACCTCACTATTAGTAACGCAGAACGACTGAAACATAACCGAGCAAATTTGTTAGATTTCCGCACTGTATAGTAGCTATAATCGATTTGCCGGTTTTAGCAAAACGTCGTTACGCGAAAATCAAAACAAAATTACCCCACAACCCGCCATTGTAGATATCACGTGACACCAACTTGAACACATTAGAACTACTCGTAGAGAACTACCAAGTGAAAGAACTACTATACAGGGTGGTGACTTGCGTAACGTATCATAGGGACTTCAATGTAAAATTTATGGCCCCTCAAATTATTTTAGAGCAAAAATGTATTAAGGTTTTTTGTAGGAAAAAATTTTTTACGCCGATAAAACGTGTTAGTTTTCAATTTTTTGTATAATAGACGGAAAACTGGAAAAATAAAACCCGCATCTTTTTCAATAATCTGTGATGCCATGGAATTTTATAATACTATTTTTCAATATGGCCCTTGGCTATGACCTGCCACCAGTATAGGAAGCCGAGTAAGGAATAAAGCTTACTCTAAGACTGCTACTCATTACATAATCCAACAAAAATATAAAACATTCATAAAATTGTTCTCATTTAAATTTTATTTTTTGTTATTTATAACTACACAAATTTTTTGAACTACTCTATACAAAAAGCATGGAGCAATACCTTTACATAAACGAAACCTTCCACGTTATCGCATTCCAATTTACTAAAGGACTAATTTGATAAACTAGCTGGCACCGTAATCGCACCTAAGCCATATCTGCAATATAAAAGATAAATGATTGCCCTTAAAAATGACGCACGTATTGCTTACGGTTTCGTATCTTGCACTGTTGCATGGCTTCGTTGAATCCCTGGCAGAGTGTTAAATCGGACTGATTACTAGCGCACTGTAGAAACTGTTTTATTTCCCAAGCGCAGGGACCTGTCTCGTCTAAGTTCTGTTGAGGCTGAGCGGATGCTGGAGCTGCTTGTTGTGGAGCCTGCGCGGGTTCGTTGCCGCCGCCACCGCTAAACATTCCTAAAAGGGTTTTGTGTACAAAATTTCACCGTTATGAATTTTCTTACCGGTCATGGCATGACCAACGGTGTGACCGATCGCCGAACCGATGGCTACACCTCCAGCGGTCGCTGCCATTTGTCCGAAGAGACTCGGTTGTTGAGGTGCGGGCGTTGCCATCGCAGGGGGATGACTTGGTGGATGCGCCGCAGCCGCAGGTGGTGCTCTCGCGGGGAGATTGGTCCTAAAAAACCACGCAGCATGATTAGGTTAGGTAATAACACAGCAGTAATTAACGGTTATTAACACTTTACCTAGGAGCTGGTGCGGACCTTGGTGATGGTGATGCTGATCGTCCTCGTCGTGGCATTTTTCTTGGCTAATTTTATTGAGAAGAAATAGGTACGACGTTTATTTAACAACGTTTGACAGTTCTAGAAATTTCTGATCAGACGTAGTTGATGAAGGAACACGCGACTCGGTATTGCGTATTGGAACGTGATAGAGAGAGATAGAGTTGACGTTTTGAAAACTCTCCAAATCATGTGATAATGACAGTATTGAGGGTTTAAAGGTCATTTTTAGTATTTTTATCATTGTTGTTGCCTATTTTTTTTTAAATTTTTGGTTTCATAATTTCATGTGAAGAATATAATAAAATATTTAGGAATGACAATAGGACATACATACTGTGACAATAGAATAAATCACGATTGGTACTTAGGCAACCAACTGTACTTTACAGAGCCCATTTTGCCTAATATTTACTGATTATCCGTCCTTGGATGCAACAGTTTATAAATATACATAATTTGTAGTATTTTTATAATTTATTAAAAGGAAAATCTTAAAAATAAATGATTTTTGTTCATTTATTTTAGACCGCAAATTTTCAACACAAAACGCCAATTTGGAGATTGAAAAGACATGAGCTAATCTCAGGACACAAAAATCTTGAAATTCGGTTTTAGGCTCAAAATTCATAAAATGATCCTACGAGAAATTGAGATAGACGTCTTAAACTAAATCTACGATTTTACCCCCACTCCAACTTTTTAAGGCTAATAGTGCCCTCCAAAAATTGGCGGTTTTTTCCAAAAAATCAAAAAAATTAATTTTGGCCCTTTTTTAGGTAAAATATCGACTGAAACAGTAATTTCATGGGGAAGTAATATCAGATGAAGATTAATAAACGAAGCATAATATGTATCCAATAGTTCTTTAGTTACCTTATAAAATCTAAAAATGGGAAAACCAAGATATCTTGTTGACTTGGAGTCTCCATAACTACTTAAGCTTCGACACTCATGTTCAGTTCACCGGCAGTCCGTGGACTGTCAGTCCTGGCTGGCCGTCCATTGTCATTGCTCAAAATTGTTCCGACTGGCCGAGCAATATTTACAATGCAATTTTCACAAGTCTCATCAATGAGAACGTTCGCGGGTGTATACGCGGTAGGTATATAGCCATTGCGAATACTGTGGGAAGCCGTACACACTAGAAAATATACCGAACGAATTCTTCGAAAATTTTCTTTGATGCGCCACCTGGCGATAGCGAAAACTAGAAAATGCTAACGTATTCGTTCGCTTGTGATTGTGCGTTCACATTTAGCCGAGCGAATCCACTCGGCCGAAATCGTCCGCTATATGAATATGCGCCTTAACGTGTGTTGCAAACCGTGACAATTGCTTCGTGACCTATACACGCAAATAAATTATGAAATTAATCTAAACACCTTTTATAGCTACTAAAATTTGAAGATTAAATGCAGTTTAAACATATGTAAATCCATATGTTGTTATACATCCTACGCTTTTTGAAGGATTATCAAAAAATAGTTTCGTTGTGGCGAGATTAGAGTTAACGGTTTCACCAACACAGAGTTACCAATGTACAAGGAATGTTTAAAATTTACTTACGAATACTTCCGACTTGGTTGCTGTAATTTCATTGAACCGGTACTGCTTCTACTAAACGAGCCATGCCCACTGCCACCTTTTCCTTGTCGAGGCATATTGTGCGGAAGTTACCTACTTGAATTTATATGCACATGAAAAATGTATGTCGTGACAATACTATATTTTGACAATTTCACCTGGTGTGCCACTTGATCTATTGACACAGAATTGTTTATACGGGGAATTTTTCTTAAGACCACATTTACACGGGGATAAAGTCACATGCACAGGTATTTTTGATAAAAAGTCGTTTGTAAGTATGTGAAGCATATAATCGCTCATACGGATTTGGCAGACATAATTAACATAGTATTAAATGGGTTGGATCTCAATTTTAGCTGAAGTTTTCAGAAACCTAAGACAGTGATTTCAGCAAGACGGTGCGACGAGTCATATCGCTGGTCAGTCGTTGACTGGGGATCATTTTGGTGACAGTGTGATTTCCCGAAAAACAGACCTTAATTATCCCCCACATAACCCCGACCTTACTCACCCGGATGCATACATCTGGGGCATGATGAAAACAGCAATTTTTCAAAACGACCCGCCGACTCGGGAATTGACAATTGCAATTATCCGCTTCTTCCGTACGTTCTTTGTCGATTTATTGCTTTTGACTTGATAACTGATTTTTGTTGTACAATTTGAGTTTGATTTGTGTCTATTTTTCTTTTGTTTTTTGTTCTGGTAGTTGATTTATTTCATGTATTTGTGCAGGACATATCAGGTTTTTTGCCAATAAAAGGTTTTCCTGCTACCGCCTTATTGTGTGTTCTTAGTCTCTTACGCATAGAATTCTGCATTTTATTCAATACCCTTCCCGATTATGTTTCACATCCCATCACATAAAAGAACCCACAACGCAGGACCTATTTGTGCTATCCAGTCCGAGTCGACTGCTACCGAAATGAAAGTGGGTGTTCGTCGCCAGCAAGAGAAAAATACCAAAGATTCAGTCAACAACATAATTTATTTCGTAAACTTATAGTTAATTATTTATACCTAGAGCTTGATTAACAGTTCGCTGAAAAGTGGCATTGATTTGTTTGTGAATATCCATACTGGTTTCTAAATCCTTCATAAACTCTTCCAACTCTCTCAGTTTGTCAATGTTTGAATCAGTACTTACAGTTTTATCTGCCCTTACCATTTTTTCTATCTCATCTAGATCAATCTCTTCAACTGAGATCGTGTTCTGATTAGTTCTCCTGACATCATGCGCGTACACCTTCTCTGGTAACTTCTTTATTTCGCTCTTAACCAGCGGATTTTCCAAATAAAACCACTCCTCAGATTTGAACCTCTCGAGAGCTTGAGTTTTATAAACGACGAACGACTGCGTAAACGTCGACTTGGCGTGAAACGGGGTGTGGCGTAGAAGAAAATTGCCCTCCTGCAGCTTCTCGGCGGAAATCACTCCCATTATGTCGATCCAGAGGAGGTTTTTTATTCTATCAAAGTCGCACGACGGGTCGTAGTTCTTCAAAACAACTGCCATCACTTTGTAGAATACTTTCTGTGGATTTTTGAAAATCGATAAGCAATACGCGAAGAGATCCTTCTCCAGTGTGGACTCGTCGTTAGGAGGCCATACCGATTTGTATTCGGGTAGTTTTAGTGAGTTTAGGGTTTTACGAAGTAGAGATCGATATGTCGCCTTTCTCCAAAATGAAGGGAAGGACCTGAAACATGATTTTAATTGTTTCAAGTAGTTAAAGGGACACCTGAGTCAGAACGTTACATGACATTCTAGCGCATGCGTTTGGGCGCAAATCATTTGACGTGCGAATATGAACAGGCCTGTTTATGAAAATAAGAGTGTTCCACTGACCTGTTAATATTAAACAAGTCGGTTTAACAGGAACAGGTCTGTTGAACAGCGCTAGAACCTCACTGTCTGTCTGGCGTGTAATGTGACTGTCTATAACTACTGTTCCACAAAGGAACTTTCTAGTTTAAAGCATCATCTAGCGGCGGTAATTTTAAACAAAAAGTACCTCTTAGATTATTAGTAGAACAAACCTATAATCGCATGGTAGGACTTCTGGTATCTTTTCGTGCAGTAGCACATCAAATTCGATGGGAAAACTGGGATAGTCCAAACAGGTGTGGTCCGAAACGATCTCCTTGAGTTTATCGATGCCTTGATTGTACAAACCAATCACTAAATTTGGCGACTTTAAGCATGTTTTGTAGTTCGCATTCCAAACAGAGCAGCTCTTCATTCGATTCCATAAGTCGATTGATAAGTGCGAGTAAACGAACGAACCCACCATGTCCAGCTCGAGAGGGGGAGGTTTCTGAATGTTTTCAGAGAGAAAATCTAAACTCTCTTTAACAGCGCTCAGTATGGAGTGTCGTTGGAATTGACACGTAATTACTTTATAATTTGTGATGCGCGGGTTCTTCTCCAGAAGCACTCCTAATTTTTGAGAGTTAATACTTTGAGCCTCATCGTTAACGAATACAACTGCTACAGCTAACCGGCAACATTTTGGAAAATTTTTTATCGCAAACGAAATTCGTTGGTGAAGGTGGTCACTGGGCTCGTGTGACAAGAACACAATTCCATTCGAGTTGCTGTCAACCTCTAATACCTACAACAATAACCGTGTTCTCATTCACATTAAACCACAGCCTAAACACAATGCGCTTTGCACCGATACAAACTAACCCATGCCATTGATTCTAATGGCGTTTTCTTGCTGAAACAACCCTAGCGCGCATTTGATTGAAAAAGGAGCCTAAACGGAAAAAAAGATACAAACAAATTTATAATTGTGGGCAACTTAATGAATGGGTTAGCATCCCACTACGCTATAATACTAACAGACCAACGACCATAATGGCCTTTAGCAAACTGTGGGTCCATTGCAGAGTGCTTTGTACTTAGACTGCGGTGAAGCAACTAAAATACATACTCCCTGCTTCCTTTCGATGCAATACCCCAACAATTTGCCACTTTGATATTGATCGACTCTCGCTGTAGATCCATAGCGATCCTTCCATTTGAAATACTGCATTAAAACGCTCTCGATAACGCTCAACCCGACCTTAACTTCCTTAAAATCGGGCAGTGAGACAGTAACCTTCCAGAAGAGTTCGTTCGGAAGTCTCGTCTGCATCTTCGTGTAACTCGCGAGTAACAACTTGTAATAGTAGCTAATGTCGATACTGTCGACTTGTTCTCTTTCGGACGCGGCAATCTCGTACGATTTCCCAGTCTTATAGCGTTTAATATTTTGCAACATCAACTCCTGGTTTGCGGTGAGGAGTTGCGCCGCCTCCTCGGAAACGGAACGTTCGGGCAACCAGACCGGATTCTGATCGATTGCGTGTCGTTTTCTCTTGATTAGACGACACTTCTTCTTCCATAGGGCGACGAATTGGCGGGTTTTAAAGTTTCTGATGTTGGTCGCTATGTCGTTGAGACGTTCTTCTTTTCGTATTGCTTCGACTCGTGCTAGGAGGTCGTTCATAAGTTCCGTGACGGTTTTGTTTATTTCGATTCTTAGTAGTCGTTCTTTTTCCACCAGCATAGCTGCAAAAATAGACGTTGCCGAATTACCAAGGCACACCTCAAGATGATAAATTGAGAATAAAGCCACCCATGTGCACCCACCTACTTCCAAACCAGAATTAGACAGATGAAGACGTTAAAAAGAACATGAGATTCGAAAACACCCAAACAGAATGAGTTCAGATGATCAGAAATAAGGTGCTCAAGGATTTGAATTTAATAATTAGCACTCTCAAACAACTAAAGAGTAGGTAGTAAGTTTCGTAATACAACAGTCTACTTCTTTACATTTCCTGCAGCTTCTGTTACAATTCGGTCCAAAAATGAACGCCCTAGTAACTGTGAGTAGCATGAACTTATCCAAACACACTTACAAAACAATATTTATTATTTTAGGAAAAACAACTGAATTAAGATCAAAGTAGAGAATACAGTTTATGTAAAATAGAGCGATGAAACACGAAAAGAACAAAAACGCTACAAACTCAAAACTTAGACTTAAAGTGAACTTTACCTATGCGCCTCTTCTCCATTTCCTCTTCCTTCTCCCTTTTGCGCCTTTCGTTTTCCTTCCTCAACGCCTCCTCTTTCATCCTTGCCAATTCCTCCAAGCGCAGTTTCTCCAACCTCTCCCGTTCGCGTTGCTCTTCGGCGGCCCGTTCCATTAACCTGCGCTTCGTCTCCTCCTCCTTTAAACGCAGCACCTCGGCCATGTTCGTTTCCACCTTTTCTGACGCCGGACGAGCAGTTTGAACGAGCGGCGCGCCAAAATCGAATTTCTGATTGGCAAAAATGGGCGGCTGGGAACCGCTGAAGTGGGCAGGCGCTTGAGGTAGGGCAGTTTTGGGTTTGCTCGCGGCATCCGAACCGAAGAACGATTGCATGATGCTCTCGTTTTGGTTCTTTTGCGTTGGAAAAATTGGCACGTTAAATACTGGTTTTTGGGGTTGAGGTTGGACGACTGTTGAGGCGAACTGATTGTCGTTGGATGGAAGGGGAAATATGCCCAATGATTTTTGTTGGGCGGTAGCCGATTGAGGCATTTTAAATGTGAACTGTTTCGCGGCTTCGCTCGGTTTCGTCCCGCCGAAAATGCCCAGGCGCGGAGGCGAGTCGGCCTTAGTTTTGAAAATAGATTCATTTTTAAATGCCCAAAAGGGTAGCGGTTGATTTAATTTTTCACCATCGGGCTGGTCGACAGCTGTCACTTTAGGCTGCTCTAGAATTTCGGATGGAATTTGTGCCTCCTTGATGATTTCCTTTAAAGTGTCCGTCATTATTAGAACGCCATTTTCGGCGAAACTGTTGCGGGGTACGTAGCTTTTGTAGAGCGGAGGTGGAAGAACGCCTCCACAGACAACTTCTCCAACTGACTTGGTCCGTTTTGATTCGACGACATTTACTGCTCGATCTAGGGTTATCGGTATCTCCGGTTCCTGATGAGCTTTGCGATCGAGAATTACCTGAGACTCATCCTGATTTAAGTAAAGACCAAAAGACGCCAAAAATTCTGTTAGCGACGAGGCATCTTCGAACGCCAGCAGGTGCTGCAGTTCGGACAGGGGGAATTGTGTGTACGGCGTCCGTGGCGAGTAGCATTTTAAAATCGTCGAAAGAGCTGTACCGCGCACTTGTATAAAATAACGCAGCAAAATACAGGCGTTCAGGTAATTGGTGGAACGGACCAGCTTGAAAAACTTTACGAAGTTATTCTTGTCGAGCGCGGAGTAGACTTCCAAAGCAAATTTCACTTCGGGAGACTTTTGAATGTTCAGTTTTAATTGTTGAACCTAGAAAAGTAAATTAGACGATAACAGTCAATGTGCGCAAAGTAAGAAAGTAAAATACGATTTTCCTTAGTTTGCGTGCCTCATTAATTCTGTTTTTGGGGCATATTCTCATGTCAACGTATGAACAAAATTTTAAAAAATCACTCTAACCACATTGCTACATTAGCTGATAACAAATCCGTTAGTTTCATAACAAACAATTATGTGTAAAAGCATAACTTCCGCAAGTCTCACTGCGATATTCTGCGCCAAAAGTTGTATAACCCAAAAATGACATCAGATTTATCAAGAAAAAGTAAGTAACTTATTTCTAATCTTATTCGTTACTTTGACCGTGAAAGAGATAATGGTGGTCTATTTTTGCCAGTCGTAGCAGTGAGAGAGGTGAGTGGTTACTTTAGTAATATAAGAATTTGTATATGTAACAACCTTAATTTTACAGAGTTTCGGATGCACTAAATATTAGCCTCCGAACAGTGACGTCTATTTCATAAATTTCTCAACATCAAGTCAGTCTCAAGCTCATAAAAATCAAGGCAATGTAAGAAACCCGTTAGCGATGTGAATGGTTTCACACAAGCAGCGATTCGGAACTCCATCTACAACATGATCCAACACAGTAGGTTACAACACACGAATGGTACATGGGCGTTTATGCCAACTGTACAAAAATTATAGGCTTCTTCATGTAAACAAAAATTCCATAGGTGACTTGACAGCAACTCTTTTTTGATCGCATAGTATCATATTAAATTAATATTTGAGTAGATATTATAAGCCGTTTACGTTTGTCTTTTAGAACATGTTACACTTCAATCACCTTTGCAAATTCTAAAAGAGAAAAACTTATATAATGGGTCCGCTATCAAAAAGAGAATCCAAGAAAAGGTTTAATGGGGTTACCCAATATTGCACTATCAAGAGTCAATTTTTTAAATACGTATGTAAAAAATATGCAATCTGAGACTGGACGCCAATTCACCTTTTTTTGATGAAACGTGGGTATTTGAAAATGGGACGCAGGTAACATACTGGTATTGATAAGAACAATATCATCTTCTAACTATTTGAGATATGTGGTTTTACATGTCGGAAATATGAGCACTGGAGCATCTTTAATTATTGCTTCAAAAACAAATGTTCCAGATTACCACAGGGAAATGAACAAGGACAGTTCTCTTAAGTGGTTCGGGGACCATTTGCTACCAAATTTAGAACCATAGCTGATTATTATGGACTATGCTAGTTATCACAATAGCTTACTGGAAAACTTGCCAAATTCTTCCTGAACTAAAGCACAACTACAGGCATGGCTACAGCACAAAAATGTTGCAAAATAATTTGCAAAGATGATGATTTTTTTGTAACTGATGATTCAGGTTAATAACGATTTGAAGTCAACAAAATGGCTGTTGAAAGGCGCCTGCAGTGTTTACAAGAGTCAAAAAATACTTTCTCATTGCCACTATGTAAGCTCTACAAGATAGAGTTGAGAGATTTTCTATACAACGTTTCGTTTCTGAGAAATCATCATCAACTTTATTTTTTATATGGCCCGTAAACAAAGTAGGTACATACTGGATTGGGTAGCATTACTTTTTATTACTAATATAACGATGTACGAAATGTAAGTTGAAAACTGTTGATTTCAACAGGATGGTGCAACCGCACACAACCCCCCCCCCCCTCCCCAATCGCGCGAGAATACCTATTGAACATATTTTTCATTTTCCAGGAAATTTGTTCGATAGTTATTCTCGCACGATTAGGATGATTGTACGCGGGTGCACCATCCTGTTGAAACCAACAATTTCCAACTGTTGTTTTTTTGTGTGTGTCATACATCGACGTAATAAAAAATGTTACTCTACACAGTATGTACTTTTTCTTACGACCCATTTAAAAAAATAAGGTTGATGATGATTTCTCCGAAACAAAACGTTGTATTCAAAATTTCTCAAAGGTGTCTTGTAGAGCTTAAAAAGTGGCAATGGAAAGTGTTTTTTTAAATTTTTCTGTATCTGTTCAAATAACATAAAAAAAATTAAAAACAAAATCGGCAAATTTCTGTTTTTCTGGCATGTCTTCGGAAGTAATCGGAATTTTCTGACTTTCTTTACAGCATGATAATAACTCTTTAATTGCACAACTTTTCCCTAATTTAACGATCGTTGTATCTTCTATACCTATGGTTTCGGAGATTCCCATGATAGACATCCTTATGTTGGACACAGTGTATGTACTTATCAAAATTCATTCAGGGTAGAACAGTCAAACGAGTTGGACATTTTGATTGCTGTGAGAAATTACACAGTTGTTTATCCCTTGTGCGCCATTTTGGGGTCGAAAAAAAAAAATTGCAAAATTTTTAAAGCATATCATTGTCACTTTGTCTTTGGAGTTTCTCCTTCGTCCAACTCCAGCCTCTATAAAAAAATACTCACCTCCCACATAAAATTACCATCATTTAAATTGAGCAAAATAATATACGCCCGAAACTCCGCCTCATTCTTGCAGCTTTCCCCTTTCAACTCCAAATCGTGATACATATACTTCAAGGTTTGCAAGCACTTCGTCAAATTTTCTGTGTTAATCTTCTGGTCAAACACAGACGGATCTTCAGCGACCAACCTCGCGGAGCAGTGTATATGGAAACGGGCGCACTGCTCCAACAATGCGACCGATCCATGACAGCACAGCTCCTGTTGAGTAATATCCTTTCGTATACTCCGCGTACGATCCCAAAGAAAGTGGTACCACTCAGCCAGATTAACCTACAAGTTTTCCAAATAGTTCGAAAATCGACAAAAAACGTACCAGTACATCTTCCACGTCGCACAAATTCATAATGTTGTGCGTCAAATATCCCATCGACAATTCTAAAGTTGCAACCGGTCGCAATTCGTGTGGCAGGGGTGCCTCTTGATCTGCGGAGCTTCGCGAGTATTGCTTAATCGCGAGGTACGGATTCATGCACTTTCCCACCGCGTCTTGTTCGTATAGCGCCACCTATTGAGGAACATTTAAAATGCGAATAACAACCGAATAAACTACCTGGTGCTGTATTTCGCGTTGCAATCGTTCTTTTTCGGGACACATATCCGGACAAGTGCCCTTCGTTGCCTTATCCATGTTAGTCAATTTCTTCAGACGCAGCCTCATCAGTTTGTCTCGCGCTTCTAGCACCTTATATTTGTCTTCAATGGTATGGGTCACCTGCTTAATTGTACTAAGTAGCTCCAGTTGCTCTGGAGTCCAACCGCTACAAAAATTTCAAATTCAAAAATGTAAATGAAAGGTTGAAGTATACTTTTTCGATGTTGGTTTCTCAATTCGCTTAGTTTTCTTTGTAGCGGCACTTGACGGTCTGGGAGGTGAATCGACTAGCATAGCTGCAAATGTCACGCCAATAGTCGACTTACAAGACAACTTATGCAGTATGGCAAGGCAAACAAACTTTTGTGCTAAGTTTATGTCATGTCAATAAAAAAATAAGGTTACAATTTAAGAAAACAAAAATTAATTAAAGAGTTTGTTATACTCCATATTGTAGCGAATTTTCCAGAAATCCCGATAAACATTGAACCGCCAGGAAAGATTAGTCATAAGAACGTAAAATGTGTTTTCCTCTAGAACATTCGGGAGCACTCGAGTTTACTTCATATAAAAGTCATCGAATTGCGTTTCAAGTCAGTTCCAATTTCAACGCCGAAGTAAACAGTTCGAGAGGTTATGAATTGTGTCATTGAGGGTATTAGTCAATGATTGTGTATATGTGAGTAACAAATAATATTGCAACAGTTATAAATCAATTCATTTCAAGACTGTTATACATTTATTGTTAATTAATTGACAATAAATAAAGCTGGCAATTAAAGTTACGTTACAATATCTTTTATTATAAAGGCAGTTATTCTTTTTTAAACATTTCAACCATTTCTTAAACAAAAGAACCAACATGAAATTAAATTCAAAAACCAAAAGTTGTTCTAGCACGACAGTCCAAAAACAAAACAATACTATGTTAGATTGTTCTGCGATGTGCCATGGTTCTTTTTGTACCTAAATAATAAATAAACTCCCAAAGCTGGTATTTTTTGAAAATATTAAGAAGCTAAAGGAGAATAAAATATGTTTGAAGGCTAAGTAGGTACCTATTTTTTTTTATTGGTACTCTCCCCACTTAACCCATTATACAAGCAGGCAAAGTTAGAGCTCATCTAAGCTACGCAGGCGGGCTCATATCGCTATATTATCTAAAATTCTTCTATACGTGTGTTTGTGACTGAAAGGCATCTTTGGTTAAAATTTAAAAAAAAATTCCATAAATAAGAAAGTTGACATTGCGCAGTCTGCGCATGCGCACATCTGATTTTATTATATGCGATATGTTTGCCTATACCAGAAGTATCTGTGATTAAAATATCAACAAAATACATTAATAAAAATCAAAAACTCTACGTTGCTTCTAAAAAAAGGAAAAACCTATAAGTGAAAAACATTGACCACCCCTTTGGCGGCAACCACTTCCGATGCTTCGACGCTGGAAATGTTGATAAAAAATCAAGATTTTTGAAAAAATCAAAATTTTCTTTATTTAAATTGGACTTCATTTTTTCTTATATGATGAATAGTTGTACTTAAATATTCTTTTAAACTGGAATGCAAAGATACAACTAAAAAACACACATTCCAAATGAAGATCCTTCCCTTAAGTGGTTATCACTATCTGCCAAATTTCTTTCCATTTCCTTTCTAATCTCGTTTCTAATTCTCTTCAAATTTGCATGATTATCTCTTCCCAGAAGGTTCCCCTTGAGTGGCTCTAAAATTGATTGTTCTTCTGAAGATTTTAAGGTTCCATCAAGTTCTCCTAGAGATCTCTAATGCTCATAGTCCAAAACTGTAAATTTCTCGGTAGGTACCCATTTACCCAGTTGGAACACAATTTTTTGACTGGTGTGCTTTTATGAGGCAAGAAACAACAAATTGTAGGGTTTGGAGGTTAGATAAAAAAAATGCATAAGATTTACAATGTGTTTCAGTGTAAAAAACTTAAAAAACATAATAATTTGTGCGTGTGGTGATAAAAAAACTTCAGTTATGTCTATTAGTTCCTGGAGCAAGTTACCCTTATTCCTCTATTACTATAAAAATATCACCTAGACCCTTGGGGGGCACCTATTGTGCTTTATAGATAATCCGCCCCTGGACACAACCACCCATTAAAAGAGCACAATCCAGCACAACTTTAATTTTTTAATCCCAAATTGAGAGTTTACTTTTTACTTAAGACATTGCACAAATCTAAGGCAAATTACTACCAAAGTCTGATTACTTGAAATCGATACTTAGCACGCGAAGTTCTATCACATAACAACTTACCTTCTTGTCGTAAATTGTACACACTTCTTTCGTTTATTGAGGCCATCGCAGCCAATTCCTCTTGTACTTCCCGATCCGGCAACCAGATAGGATCGTTATCTTTCTTAGCTTGCCTAGTTTTGGGTCTACTGCTATACTTACTTATGTTTAATTTTTTGCCTTGATAATAATTCGCGTTAAATAATGCCCTTTGCGCGTCTTCATAGGTTTTATAGTGAACGTAGCATATTTTACTTTTCGGTTTAATGATTATATGTTGAACTTCCCCGAACTGCTCGAAGAATTGTCGAGCCACACTTTTCTTTAGGAACTCATCCGGCATATCAAGACATCTTGAAACGGACAATGTTGAGAAAACTGGGGGAAATCCTTACAGAATTTTTACCTTATTTTAGAAACATCCACTGGTACATCTTCTTCCACTTCCATTGTATTATTTTTGATCACAGTTCGTTTAAATGAAATAATGAAAGCTTTTAGGTTTATTTACAAACAGGAATTCGATCTTAACCTAAAAATTCAGTTGAGTATTATCAATCCTATGTTGCCAAATCTGTGTAATGTAAAAATGACACACCTACAGGCCCAACGTCCGTCTCAGTTGGTTAAAAATGTGTGACGATTACATTTAATTTTAAACCGAATAATTCGTGTAGTTTTGAAATTTGGAAAGTTACCATTGTACCATTGATTATGTGTATATAATCAATGATTGTACCGATCTCTTAAGAAAAATAGAATGTGGTCTGTCAACACTGCGACAGTTCTGACTTCCGACGTTTCGCGGCCTAAGTTAAACAAACATAACCTCAAACTCATTACTCAAACTTTTTCTAAGTTAAAAAGAACCTTATTAGAGTAAAAAATAAAAGAACCAATTTACCTGTTCCAAATTATGGGAAAAAGGGGCAGGAGAAGCCAAGCGTCTCAGTCCGCGTCGCAGACTTCCAACTCGACGCAACTTACATTGGAAGTATCCTTCAACAACAGCCAGAGAGTTGTCGAAAATTTGGATGAGCTTGTTAATGCCTGCGTTAGGTATGTTCTCTATCATGCCGGCTCGCGTTTACCAATACGAAAGGCAGACTTACAAAAGCACGTTTTGAAAAATGTGGGTCGAAGTTATAACATGATTTTAGAGAAAGTGAAAGCAGTTTTAAAAGACGTAGGTACCCACATATTTTCCCACCTTTTGTAGTGATCCCTTTGTAGATATACGGCTATGATTTGTACGTATGTGAAGAGCAAAAGAGTGTTATACGGTACTTGGTGTCAAACTCATTACCGAATAAGGGATTGAATCAACAGTGCGACAATGACGTGCCAGAGGATGCACACAAAATTTTAACCATGTTAATTTTAACTCACATTTTTATGTCGAATAATACCACTACAGAAGGTAAATGAATTTTCAATTTGATATCCGGAATTACCTTTGATTTTAGCTGGTCTATTTTCATTTTTAAATTCCTTAAACATTGACGTTGAGGAAACGCACGATGTGTTTGGAAACGTCAAAACGTTCATTCAATCAACTTTGGTGCAACAGAGGTTTTTACATATGGAGACTGATAATGTAACCAAACGACATAGTTACACGTGGGGACCAAGAGCAGAGCATGAGGTTTCCAAGCACGAGTTACTAAAATTCGTGTGCAAAGTAAGATTGTTAAAAATGTTTAATCTCTGTTTATTCTGCTTGTTTTAGATCTACAAGGACAGTAACCCGAAATCGTGGTCGTCCCAGTTAGAGTGTGCTGATAAACAATTTAATGTTGCTACAGATGAAAATGAGTCTATGGAAGTTGGTGATAATTAAATAAACGTTTAGAGCAATCCTTATTGGTTAAAACTGTTTTTCCCTCATTTCAATCCATGTCCCTTATAAGAAATAGTTCCTAAACACAGGATAGAACCTGTAGTTAGGGTTCTAGAGTTGTTGATAAAAAATCAATTTCAAAGTGTGGGGAGCAGCCTCCAGCTCTACTCCAAACATTGAGTTCAAGTTCAATTGATTTAACAAAGGAGTGACAAATGTCTTCTGTAAGTATTCAAGTTAAAGTAGACCATCACCACATACAAACAAGGAATGTTAATTAGAGGGCACCCTTCTCATATTGCTAGATGCAAGCCCTGCAGCCTGCACGAGATGCAAAAAGAAATATACCACGGAAACTGGACTGCATGAGGTTCTTTTTTCGACGGTAAATAAATGGTTACCTAAATCGAATATCCAGAGCAATATTCACTTTCAAGCATTGATCTATACACAACGTAACATATAGTTCAAAGCTTTCATGTGAATAGGTACATAAATATAAACACTTAAGTAAACCCACAATCACTTCAACCCAGCTCGAACTCGAAAGTGACGCTAACTTTTCCCCTATCAGGGCCTCGATTCTTGAGTACAGTAGAATAGATCGTTCCCTCCTTAACATTACACGTTATTCTTAGGGTTGCCACATGGGCGGAATTATCCCGGAATTAGCTGCACTGGCCCGGATACACACACTTTTAAATCAACAAAACCCTTTTTAATTTTTAGGCTTGTGTTTCCGTTCTCTGCGCATATTAAGGTTTTATTTATTTTACTTACGACTGTACAAACTTTTTTTGTTTAATATGTTGGTTTTTGTTCCAGAAAAACATGCTTTGGTTAAGATTGATTATATTAACATTTTATTTTGCTGTTTTTTTTATTAAAATATTTTTTCTGTAATTTTATGCGTCAACAAAATTTAATAGAATTAATTATAGGTATGACCAGTGGCGGATTTGGGGGGGGGGGGGAGGGGCACTAGGGGCAGTTGCCTAGGGCGGCGGATTTGTAGGGGCGGCAGATTCTTGAAAGATTTTTTTAGCAGGAAACGATATCGCCGTTTTGACCATCGAGCCGGACTTGACAAAGAAATTGGACTTTGATGATATTATTGATTCCTTTTCAACCTTAAAGGCACGAAGGAAGTTAATTTAAATGCTGGAAATTTTTTCGCCATGTGTTAAGGTGCACTATATTTAGGTTAGGTAGTACATATTAATTAGATTTAGGAGTCATATTAGTTTCGATAGGTAGGTAGCTCTGTATTATAACAGAGTGCATATAGTTGCATCATTATTTTCTGTTACATTACGGCGAGTATTTAAATATACATATTACAAATGAAATGTGTATGTACCTACCGCGGGCAACTTCATCCAAAGTCCGGAGGTTGTGGTGGAGAATTGAGTGAGGGGGGGGGGCAGATCGCATTCTGCCCCTAGGCGGCAATTGTGTAAATCCGCCACTGGGTATGACATTAAAAAAATAAAAATAACTAGAAAAAATCAACATAATTGTCAAAACTATGAAAATTACAATTAAGGTAGGTACTTATACCTTCTCAATAAATTTTAAAGGGGTTTCCTATTATTTACCCAGTCAGAATTTTGGTACACGGAAGGACGGTGTCCCGACAGACGGTCAAAGTGGCAACGCTAACTAGACTAGCGTAACCTAATTTATGTTACAATAGCATTTTATATAAAAAACTGGTAGGTATGGACATTGAATTTGTTATGGACATTTTTAGAATAAAAAAAACAGGGTTCTACATTGTATTTATTTATAGATTGTTGTACTCTATTTGTTGCATCGCAAGCATCTTATACAGTGATATTTATTAAGAAATAGACATAGGGATTTACATGTATTGTTTTCCCCTATCCTTCTGAAAGGCTATTAATTTTATGCAACCAAAATAACTTCTTGAAACAAATAAAGATCTGGCTGTCATATTAATTAATATGAATATTGTTGCTTTGGGTTCCGCATTTTTATTTTCGTTCGTGTGCGATGCATTCAACTGAAGAAAAAAGTGGATATGGTTAATTGGCATAGTGCCGGTAACAGTTTATAGAGCGTAAGAGATTTCTCTTATACTTTCGATGATATAAGACATCGAATGCGGTAAATTTTGTTTAATAATGAATTATTGATATTAAGGATCATCAGATCCTTTATAGTTTTGTATTGTCGTCCGTCCGTGTGTCCTCTAACTCTTTTTAAAAGTGGCCGATTGTGTTGAAATTTGGTGTACGGGTAGGTACTTAGAAAAAGACCAAGATTATCTCAATGACCAAAACATGAATTTGATCTATTTTTGGCGACCACGTGGATTTTGATGAAAACATGTCAAAATCGTTATTTATGCACCAAGATCGTTGGGAAAAAGACCAAGAGCATTATCTCAAATTTCCTAAAAAATCGAAATAGGTTTTCACACAGACGGAATGGGACGCTTATTAAAATGCACGGAAAACAAATATCGCGTACTAGACGAACGATTTCCGCTGTAAACGTTGTTTGTTAGTATTACCATTGTTTAATTTAAACAATTTACAATGGTATTACCATTGTTAAACAATGGTATTACTTATAATTAACTTACCTACTTTTCGTGAATCAGCAGAAAGAAATCTACCTACACCTGATCGGTCGAGCCGAAAGGGATTTTTACACTCAGGGTGTTATTATTATACTCTAAAACGGAAATGGGTTGTTTGGAATTGTATGCATCATTTTTGTGGAAATGACTAAAAATGAAAATAACAACAGTAAACAAAAAGTAAATCATTTAAATAATTTTATTGATACTGTATATTGTAACAGAAATAGTTGAACCAACTACTGTAGCGAGGTAACACAGGGCCGTAGCCAAGAGTAAAGTTGAGGGGGTGCCGACAAAATACTTGGATGTACTGATTTTTGGGAATTTATTTAATATTTTTATTACACCATTAACGCATAAATAATCTCATCTCATCGTTCGTTAGCATGTTGGACGTCTCTCTCATTCTCCTGCCGTAAACCACTATCATAACGTTTCATCTCACTTTATATTCATACTGCAGCAAAGGATTAAGGAAGACAAGGACAGTTCAAGTTCAATCCGCCTGAAGGCATTCGCTGGCGCCAGGCTTTGTCGGTCTTTGCGTTTAGGTAGAGGTTTACAATTTTGTCATGTGCGAAGAAAAGAATATTGTTTACAAAAATTTCCCTTTTTGAAAAGTTAAAAATTGTATTGATTTTAAGGATGGCATACTGACGTACTAAAATCTAATCAAAAGTATTGAATTCAGTACATTTGTACTGGTACTGGCAACGCTGCTGAACCTGAACACTCTCACAATTCACCGGTTTACCCTCGGGTTTGCCCCTTTCTAGGCGACCTTGGTGACTGGCTTTCTGCCAAACTCGTTTGTATAATTGAAATGAATCAGACTGTCCACATTCCGCAATACTTACCTATTGTTGTCTAAATTTTATTGTTTGTTAGCCACAATTCTGGAATGTGATGCATTTGTTGACATCAACGTCAACTATAAAACTATATAATTATTATTTTGGCATGAATATCATTTTATCAGAGGGGGTGCTCAGGTGGTGACCAGGAGGTGCTCAGCACCCCCTGGCGCCCCCCTGGCTACGGCCCTGAGGTAACACCATACTGGATTCAAGGTTTGCAGCAGGTTTTAGAAACCACTGGTGGGCAAGGATTATCCACATGAAAGTTGCTGAAACGTAAAATCACAGATAAAATACCCAATATCTGTGCTAAAAGCTAAACAATATTTCAAAATCTTGATAACTGTATACCTAAAAGTGCCAGGGCTTCGGGGGATGATGAGCTGTCAAAACTGTTAAAAATGTCAGATTAAGAAACGATGTTGCTTCCTGGTCAAAGCTTTTCCTTTTTGCTGTGTGTGTACTTCTTCTTGCGCTATAGTTCGTGATGAATCGATCGATACAACTAGGGTTTGGTGTAAGAGGAGGAGGATTCGGCATGAACTCCTTTTATATGACAAGCTTATAGACATTCTTCTAAGTTGGTATAATGGTGAGAAGATATTGGACGAGCACGAGAGAAATGTGCAGTAGGTATACAACAGGAAGCCCATTGCTATTTAGTTTGTCTATCATGGAATTAACACATTCTAAACTCAGACCTGAATGTTTGCTATCTTGTTGACGCCACGATCGATAACAAGCTGCCCGATGTTCTCAATGATGTTGAACAAGTCATAAAATTTTCGAGAACAGCTTCTGCTAAGTAGAGTTGTATCAATCCTTCGCTGCTTAATTGGTTCACAGAAGTTTTAGGAAAAGGATTTGCTTCAAACTACATTAAGGGACTTACTGGTTTCTTCAGAAATGCGCCTTACCGCTCGAAAGCTGTGTAGGTATCACAAAGGCAATTGTAAATGGTTAAATTCACCCCCTTCCCCACAACTTGGTACTTTATCAAATGAAGCTGCTCGTGTTTGTATAGCCTCATGCCTTGGAGCCAATATTTGTCAACCTTTCATCTGTTCTTGTGGTGCTCCGGTTGATTCGCTAGCGTCACATAGATTTTGTAACACTGGACGCAGATCTCGACAGTCGAAGCTTGGCATCTTTACAAACTCTCACTGTTCTTGAATCATGTGGGACATTGAGAGATGGTAAGACTCCAGATGGCGTTACTGCGATCCCTTAGCAAAGCGGGGTACCTACCAATTGTGTGGAATGTAGGTACTATTAAGTGCGGTGGGTAGGTACGCTTACTCCTTGTTATTTGAATTCTACAAGGTGTCAATTTTAAAACTTGCAGTCGGCCATATTTTCCAAACTAAAGAAGATACTGAAAATCGCGCAAAATCGTTTCGGGGGTATCGAGAGGGAACCAGAATGACGTTATGAGTACAACCCCCGACCACCACTTAACTCCCAGCCTCCCCCTCATCAAAAATCCTAAATTGCAACCCCATACTTGTGACACATCGTTGGAAAGCTACTGAAAAATGCTTTCCAGTGGTACCAA